AAAGAAAGAAAGAAAGAAAGAAAGAAAGAAAGAAAGAAAGAAAGAAAGAAAGAAAGAAAGAAAGAAAGAAAGAAAGAAACACCAGGGAAGCGCTTCGGGCCTGTGACCATCCACCCCATCACATTCAGTGGCTCCGTTCATCTGCGTCCCATCCTGGTAATTCCTCTCTGGGTGGATGGGGAAGGACTCAGCACCAAAAAGGCTGCCTTTCTGACTGTGCTCGTTTCCATCTAATGATGAGCAATTAAGGAACTGAGGAGTTGTCCAGAGAACCGTTAGCATTAAAGCCGGGCCCCGGGCGGGTGGCGCCCTCCGCTCCTCCACCCTCCGCTTGCTGCTTCGGAGTCTCCTCTTCCATTACGAGACTCTCCTTGCTTTTTAAAAAATGTTATTAAGCAGTGGAAATGCTTTCATCTCATTATGGTAATGATCACAAGGCGAAAAAGGAAGGGGAAAAGCGGGGGGGATGGGGGAAAACGAGAGAGACCCAGCAAGTGAGAGAATCAACCTAATTAATTTCAATTTCCGAAGAGCAGAGCCCATGTTAATGCCGCTATTTATTACCCACTGCAAAGAAGAAGGGGGATTAGTCGGCTGGACGCTTAGCACGGGTCACTAAATAAACGGGCCAACGATACGGCTGTTTGCCGCCAGGCCAGGGTGGAAACCGGAGTAGCGCATGCCGGCTTAATCTACACTTAGAGGGGTTGAGGGGGGTCTCCCGCCCGGTGGAGGCATTTAAGGCTTCCGGTGAAGGTACCGGCCAGGGAGGGGCTCACAAGGACAGCTTTGAACGGAAGGCCAAACATCTTCAGTGCCGCTCATTGCCTGCTGATCCCTGTAGCTGACCGGAGGTTGGGGGTGGGTGGGCGGATATCACTGCCCATCTTTTCTGAAGAGGGGGCGTTCGTCTTTCAAACCCTGAGTCGGCTGAAGGGCCAGCCCGCCTTCCTCTCTACCAGCCCGCCTCCACTTTCAGGTTGGGGACAGGGGCCTTCTTTGCTGGCCAGCCTCCGGAAGTGAGTTATGCTTCTTGTTCCCAGCCTTTCAAGCAAGCCGTCCAGGGAGGACGGTGGTCTCAAAACATTTTGGTTTAAAAAGAAGAGAGAAGATTCCACACAGGGACTGGCCAAGTTATTTTCTGAACAGCCACACCCATAATTCTTCCCCCCAGCCCCTCAGCCCGCCCAGCTAGAAGCGACAGCCCCCAAATCACCAGGACCGGCCTCGGCCTGCTTCCGTGGTCCAGAGGGTTCCCACCTGTCCCCATCTTTCCCACCCCCCACCCCCTCACCTGCGCTGCTTCTTCTCCAGTTCGTGGTTGCGGCCCTGCTGGCCCTCCAGGTGCCGCTTGGTGTCCTGCAGCTCAGCCGTCAGGCGCTGGCACTTCTTCTTCAGCGTCTGCAGGGCTCGCTGGTTCTCCTCGGTGTCCACCTGCAAGTCAGCCAGCTGGGAAGGGGAGAAGGGAATCTGTGGGCCATGGCCTCTGAGAGGGCAGGCACGTCAGGCTATCTACCTTTCGCCTCTCTCTCTCTCTCTCCCTCACACACACACACACACACACACACACACACACACAAAGAGAAACCCCAAACCCACCCATGAAACTTCACTCTCAAGCAAGCGTTAAGGCGAAGAATCTTGTTCATTCCAAGGACCAAACTGGATGTCAGAGAAGTCTCCAAGAGTCACCTTCTGATGCCAGGAAGGGCCAAAAGGAAAACGCTCCACCTGTGAGCTTAAAATTCTTAATGCCACTACTGAAGCAATAAGAGGGCAGATCAGTTATCTAAAATCAGGAAGAGGGGTGAATACAGCCATTCACAAGCTGAGAAACAGCTCAAGGATGGTGTCACAGGGAAAGAGAAAACTCAGAGGGCCAGGCTAGGGCTGCAGGAAGACCCGGACGGGGTCAGGGCCTGAGATGTCCCATCCCTGACTGAAAGCATGCCACCACCAAGCAACCTGTGAGTCTCAGGTGTCCACATGGGAAAGGAGGCACTGATAAAAGCCAGCCAAACAGGCCAGGAATGTATCACCAAGGCATCGTGAAAGGCTGCCTTTTAAGTAGGATGGGAAAGTAAAACAGAAGCCGTTGAGGAAGAGAGAAAACAGCACCAGGGCAAACACAGAGGAGTTGCCCTGCTACAGGTCACAGGACTGGGCAGGTCCACCCAAAGAGCCGGACAAAGGGCTGCGCAGGGCCAGAGGCAGGCTGGCACCAAGGAAGAGGCTGGGAGTGGGGCTTTTCCTCTGCGACTGAACCCTCCGGCCAGTCGGGCGGCCGGCCCCATCCTGCAGAAAAATAACATCTCTGAGCTCCGAGGAACAGAAGGGTCTGCTGGGAACCAGAGAGGCCCGGCAGAGGATAAGCTTCAGCTCGAGAACGGGAGTTGCGTGTTTGTGTGAGGTGGTGTGTTTGTGTGTGACACGAAGAGACTGAGTTGACACTTCCAGAGGGAAGGAGCCGCTACCTTTCTCTCCAGCTGCCTCTTGCCTTGCTGCTCCACCTCCAGCTTGTCTTCGAACTCCTGCCGCAAGCGCTTCTGGGTGAAGTCGATCTCGCGCACCGCCCGCTCGTACTTGAGCCGCCACTCGCCACCTGCGGGACAAGGTCGGGGGGGGCAAGGAGAGAGAGGCAGAAAGGAGGACCTGCGCAGTCAGAGAGCAGCAACTCAGAGGTGACCCAGGGAGAAGGCAGGCTGGGGTTCCTAAAGGCTCCACTCCCAGGTCCGCATCCCATGGCTGAGGAAAACAGTCGTTAGTGAACGAGAGCCAGGGCTGAAAGCCTCGAGCCACAGTCCCCGTCCCCCCCCCCCCCCCAGGAACCACCCCTCGTTCTTACTTTCCCCCCGCGGA